CAGGGAGGCCTTGCACAAGGGCTCTGATGAAAGAGCCTCTGATGTCCAGGGCCTGGTCTCTGCACTGAGGCCAGCCCCAGGCCAAAGACCCAGAGGGGGTGGAGGAAGGGACACAGGCAGAAAAGCACAGACCAGAAGGGGAACTAAAAGTCTCCAGGAAGAGGGAAGAGAGAAGTGACTTTGACAGAGGGGAAGTAGGAAGAACTGGTCTGGTCTGGACAGCCTCCCTCCCCAGAAAGCAGGCTCCTGGCCGCTGCAGAGTGCAGGGCCAAGCTCATAGGGGCTTGAGAGAGCCCCCTGTCCTCATCAGCCTCCTCTCTGCTGGCGGGTTTTAACCCTGCTTCTGCCACTTACAATAGATAACCGTGGGGTCTGCCTCCGTGTCCTCACCTGGCGATGGGAGTAACAGGGTTCCTGCCTCACTGTGAGGATTAAGTTGAACTCCCCAAATAAGACCACTGGGGGCCTGGGAGCAGCTGCACCAGAGGCTGCAGCCAGGCAGCGGGCGTGGGGGCAGGGTGCTGGCTGTGGAGAGCGCACCCTCATGGAAAGAAAGCACGTTGTCAGCTGGGCGCTGCGCAGAAGACTTATCAGTCCCTTGAGGGCAGTGACTTTAGTCCCGCCATCCTCGGACAACCTGTCTGTTGGGTGGAGGGTCACAGAGCGAGTGGGCTCTGACTTTGAAAAATACACATCTCCCGTTGTGCTCATGGCCCACAGACCAGAGGCAGAGAGAGGTGGGAGGCAGCCGGTGGCCTCTTCACAAGACACTTTTTAAGCTTAATCCTCAGAACTTCACCAGGCAGTTCTTTAGCCCCAGGGAAACTGAGGCTGAGAGAAGCCTAGTGTCCTGTCCACGCCACCCAGCTGGGCAGCGCCAGGGCCCCATTTGCATCCCCCAGAGCTGCTGCTTGTCCTGCCCTTTCCCCAGCTGCCTGCCTTCCCGGCATTAAGTGATAATGAATTCGCTTCCCTGTGTTTTGTTACTTATCAAAGCCATGTGTAGCTGTCAGTCAGGGCGCCTATTCTGCAGGAGGGAAGGAGGGTCCACACGCTGGCCTGCCACTCGGGCCAGGCCTGTGGGGCTGCTCACCCTGTCCGGAGGTGGGCGGTGGACACGGCCCAGGGACTTCCACCAGGGCTGGGGGGAGACGGGAACCCAAGAGCACTGAGTTTGTGCCAGGCACTGAGTTAAGCACTTCATGAAGCCTGGTGAGCCGGGCACTGTTACTCTCTCTGTGCCAGGAAGGGCTGGCACGCGTGCGCTGTGAGTCTGATGAGACACCTGGAGCAGGTGGAGCAGGGCGAGCAGGTGGAGAGGCGGGAGGCAGGGTGGGAAGGGAAGAGGTGTCCAGAGGCGAGGGAAGCCTGCCTTTCTGACGCAAGGGGTCAGGGGACCGAGGCTGGGGACACGGGGCAGGGCAGGGAACTAGGGCACCTTCCTCGGATTCCAGGGCGGGTTCAGGGCGAGGAGGCTGCCTCCGGGAGGTCTTGGTTTACAAAGCCCTGTGGAGTCCTTCCCAGGCTGCTGCCAGCCCAGAAAGGGGCCTCCTCAGGGCACCATCCTCCCCCTTGTTGGGAGGACTCCAGAAGCAGCGCTGGGTGGCTGGGCAGAGAGAGGTGGGGAGTGGGTGGGACTCGCCTGAGGTTGCATGGGGAGGGAGGGAGGGCGAGCGGCTGCCCACACTGGCCGCCCGTGCCTGACACCTCACCAGAGCTCCCAAGTGTCATCTCCCCTCCCCTCACGTGCAGACAGGATGCTCTGGTTCAGTCAGAAAACTTTCCTGTGACCCTAACAATTTACTATACTTTTCTGGGTCCCAGTTTGCTCTTCTGTAAAATGGGGAGAAGGGGTGGGGTCAACCCTTGGGTCTCTCCCAAGTGGAAACTACATAGCTGTGTGAGGTCAGGCATGGGGAGCCCTCATCCATCACCTCCGCTCTCGCTCCCCTGGTCTCTTGCTAACTCTGCCCAGGCCCCCAGGGCGGTACCTGCTGGGTAAACGCTGAATGGATGATCCGGAGGCCCTGGGGGGCAGTTATGGCCTCCAGAGGGTTCAGAACCCCTTGGGAAGTAGAATGTCATTGCCTAATCACCTCTGGGAATCAGCAGCTACAGACTGGCCCTTGCCCTGAAGGACAGACTGAGGCCCAGAGAGGGCCCAAAGGGAACTCCGTGGCAGGAGCCAAGCTGGAAGCCCAGGCTTCCCAGCTCCTGGCTGACAGGAAAGGCCAGCTCCCAGGCCTTTCCCATCTCCTGCTCTTGGCTCTGGTGTATGCTTGGAAGCGTCTGGGTCCCTCCTTCCTGCCCCAGGGTGGCGGTCTTTTAGTAGCCAGGCTGGGAGGCCCTGGCTGCGGTTTCCAGCCCCTGCTTGGGCACAGGAGGCCGCAGCCCACTCGGCCAGCAGAAGCAGAAGGAGGTTTTGTCCTCCACGAGAGCCCGTCTGTTGGCCGCTTACAGCAGGCGCTGGCTGGGCTGGCACAGTGAAGCCTTGTTTCCTTGAATACAAAACCTGCCAGGGGCCCCAGTGGGTACTTCCTTCCCTAGAAGTCCAGCTCCCTGCCCCTTGCAGCCCCTGCCCACTCCCAATGCCAGCAAACAGCAGTGGTGCCAAGAGGTGGCTTGCAGGGGGTTCAGCTCCCCCCACATTTCACCCGACTACCCCTCATCAATCTAACATCCAAAATAGCTTCTGTAGAAAGTGAGCTCGCTCCGGAAATGCAGCTGCGAGGCCATTCCCGAGCCACGCGCCCCTGCCACCCAGGCGGCACCTCCCAAGTCCCCCCTAGGCTGGGTTTCCCCAAAACAGCTTGATTTTTTTTTCTTTCCTGGTAGGGGAGTGGGGGATGCTATGCAGGCCCAGAAGGAGGAGGGATTTGGGGAAAGAACAAACAGGCTGCTGGTGGGCACATGAGGCAGAAAATCCGCCTCGAGCGTGGAAAGGGGTAAGAATGGGGGTGCGTTTCCCATCTGGATGCAGATGTCTGGGACAGGAAACTCAGAAGGGAAGGACAGGGTCTTTGGAGTCAGACCTGGGTTCAAATCCCGACACTGTCATGTTCTAGCTGTCTAGTCCCAGCATGTTCCTCGACTTCTCTTTGCTCAGGTGCTGACACCTCCTGGATGATTACAGTTCCTTGTGCTCTCGGTACAGGGATCTCTGCTACATTTGAATAACCTCGTAGGAACGCCCCAGAGTCAAGTTCCTCAAGCAAGTTCCAGACGGTGAAGCTACACCCAGCCCTGGGCTCAAGGAGCTTTCCGTCTGGCTGGAAACACGGAAGTCCTGACCTGACTGGCCACTGGCTGAGCAGGAAGTTTAGAAAGACTCGCAACTAGGACCCCAGAGTCAAGAGGCAGGCTCCACTGGGCCCAGGGAAGTCCAGGCGGAGGCCTGGGGTGGAGGTCCAGGACTCCGTGCCCTCCCAGGCTGACCCTCAAAGGCTACAAGGATGGGGCTCCCAGCCATACTGATCTGGGAACCAAAACCTCTTGCCCCTCGTCAGGGTCCAGTACAGAAGCTGCTGTAGTGAGAAGTGGACAGGAGTCTTTCTCGAGCAGGACAGTGCCTCCTGCTTGCACCTGGGCAGCTCAACTGCTACGTGGCTGTGTGCTCCACCCCCTGCCCAGCCAGCCTAGCTGGGGCCAGCACCCTGCCTGATGGGGGGCGGGAGAGGCATCCTGACTCCCCTATCCGAGACTCCAGTTGGTCGCAGATGGCTGTTTGTTTTGGAACCTCCAAGTCCCTGGGCTGTTCCCTTTCCGGCAGGCAGCCCAGGTGGAGGGATGGGCAGTCAGAGGTGCGGAAGGGGCCAGAGAGAGGGGCCTTCACACTCCCTGGCACATATGTGCCTGGGGAGGGGGTGTGGCTGGCCAGTCAGCTCCTGCTGGGTGGACCCAGCGATAGACCAGAAGGGGACCCGCACCCCAGTCCCTCTGTAGAGATGAGACAGCCAGGGGTTGAGGTGGGGAGGGCGGGGCCCACGGCCTGGGGTTCCCGTCCAGCTGGCTGCGGACACAGTGCGTGACTACATGGTGTTCGGGCGGGGGTGAGAGCAAGCGGGCGCGTGGGATGGGAGGTGGGGGCTGAGTCCCCGGAGAGGGGAGGCCACTCTGCCCCAAAGCAGGGTGGCGGTGACTGCACAGCTGCTGGGTGGATGTGGGCGGGCGGGCAGGAGGGTGAGAGGAAGGAGGGCAGTGCTGGGGGGGGGGTCCTCCCTAGGGAGCCCTGAGGGTGGAGGATCAGGGCCAGTGGAGCAGGGGTGAAGGGGCAGGGTCTCACCACAGTTTGCTAGAAGATGCTAGATAACAGGGGGTGGGGAGGAGGGGGCTCTGCGCACAGCCTATGTTGAGGGCATGTGAGGTAAGCAGAGGTCATGGAAGGACCCCCGAGGAAGGGCTGCCTGTGAGCTGGGGTGCAGGGAATGGTCACCTCTGTGGAGGTGCTGGGAGTGGGTTGTGTGGCATTTTTGATGAGTGTGTGTGGGGTGGGGGTGGGGAATTCGAATAGCTTAGGGGGTGTGTTGGGGGGAAAGGGGGGCGACTGGCTCCTCTAGCTGGCTCCTCTAGCTCGGTGTGGGTGAGTGTGGGGTGATAGGGCAGCGACAAGCCCGGGGTCCTAGGCCAGAGACCCAGAGTGCCCAGACCTATGAGTCAGGTGGCAGCGGGGGCTCGCGGCTGGCGTCTCGTGATTATCTGGAGGGGCCTCCGGGTCGCCCCTTCCGGGTGCGCCCCCGCATGAATGGTGCTCTGGGTGCAGCATCACCCAGGGGAGGGGTCGCGTGCCCGGGCCCGGGATCCCCGGGAGCCCGAAACCCGGAGGAGTGGAGGGACCCCAAGCCTCCGGGTTAGGCAGAAGGGGCCGCAGGGTCCCCGCCCTGCGGTATCGGACTTGGGGGGGCTAGGCTGGCGGGGCTGGGGTCCGGGCGGCGCGGGGTCGGGGCTTGGGCTCCGAGGCCGGGTGGCTGGGCAGCCGGGGGTCGGGTCGGGCGGGCACTCACTGTTTGAACATCTTCTCCATGTCCTTGATCTGCTTCCTGGAGAACTCCTTGAACTCGGTGTAGGGGTTGAAGACGCGGCGGCTGGGCGACTGGGGCTCGCCGATGCCCTGGTTGAGGTCGGCGCGCCGCAGCAGCTTGGCGCTCAGCTCGTCGTCCGCGCTGCCCAGCGCCTCGGCCGCCTC